TTGAACTCCCAAACCGTGAGGTCATGACCTGAGCTGAAGTCGGACGCTCAACCAACTGAGCCACCCAGGCGCCACCTCCCCCCCACCACTGCAAAGAAAAGGTTTTTAATTTTAGGCTCTAATTGTTCATATCTAATGTACTGAAATACAGTTGGGTTTTGTATATTGCTCCAATAAACTCATGTACAACATATAACTTTTTTGACACACTTTAGTATTTTCTGTACACATGATTGTGTAGTCTATAAATAAAGACAGTGTGACTTTTTTTTTTATTTGTATCTCTCAATTTTTCTTGTCTTGTTGCATTGGCTAGCAATATCGAATAGAGATTGTATAGTGTTGAGTGGTAAGAGAGGTCATCCTTATTTTGCTCCCTTGTTCCCAGGAGAAAAGCATTCAATGTTTAACCATTAAGTATAGTGTTAGCTGTTGCTTTTTCTTTCCTTTGTATTGGAATCGTTAATTTACATATCACATAATTGATGTTTGGATTTAAATATACCATATTCTTGGGGCACCTGGGTATCTCAGTTAAGCATTCAGCTCTTGGTTTTAGCTCAGGTCGTGATCTCACAGTTTGTGAATTTGAGCCCTGCATTGGGCTCTGCACTGGTGATATGGAGCCTGCTTGGGATTCTCTGTCTCCCTCTCTATCTCTGCCCCTCCCCTGCTTGCTCTCTGTCTCTCTCTCTGAAAAATAAATAAATAAACATTTTTTTAAAAAGGAAAAAATAAATATGTCATCTTCTTATTTGTTTTTATTTATCCCATCTTTTGTTTCTTTTTTTCTCCTTTTGCCTAATTTTACATTATCAGGTTTTTTTGTTTTTCCATTTTTTTCTCTATTAACTTACTGTTTATACATCCTTTTATTGTATTTAATTGTTACCTCATAGCAGCCTTTTTCAGATGTGATTCTGTGAGAATTAAGCACCAATGCTCTAGGGCATTCATTGTAATCAACGTACTGATGTTTCTCCTGCATATCTATTATGGTACTAGCTGTGAACTTTCTTTGGGAGAATTAAGAAAATGGTCATTCAAATTATTTTCTGTTTTATTCTCTTATGGAACCCTGGTTGAAATAGGCTGCCTTAAACCTATTACAACATATACGTTTGATTTATTACAGTTTATCTTAGTTTACTATTTCTAGGACAATCCAAAAATCTTATAATGTTTTAGTTTTATGGACTTTCCTCTTCTTGTGCTATTTTTGCCATGTATTTTAATTCTCTATATATTGTAAACCCCGTAAGAGGTTCATGTTGCTTAAGTCAGTCAGTAAACATTTAGATTTACCCATAAACTTAACTTTTTCCAATGCCCTTGCCTCTGGTAAAGGGAAGAAGCCTCTACTTGGAGACCTGAGATTTTTTACTTTCGCCCTTGAAATTAATCTGTGTCGTGTTTTCAGCTCTCTAGACCATTTGCAGTCTGACAACTGTGTGCCTTTTATAGTAAACCCCATTTAACAGTGGACTGATAGTCAAGAATTTCAGTGGAACTCCTACTGTCACAGACATCTGATATTGTTAAGCCTAGGAATCGCCTCCTCAAAAATCAACTCAGAAGAGATTTTTGATCTTTTCCTGATTCACACACTATACTTAGGAAGTCTGGTTACTGAATGTGGCTCTTTCTTAGCCACTTCCTTGTAATAATCAGGACAAAAGAGATGAGAGATTATAAAGACCTATTTTTGAAAATTTAAGATTCTGTCCTGACCATTCCTGGACTTCAATAGTTCCTTCTTTCCCCTAGTAGCAGCCTCTGATCTGCCTGGTCGGTGGTCCTCCCAGTGACAGCCAGGCTGCCACTGCCTCCTCCCCCTCTTCTTCCTTCCCCCTCTTCCTCCTTCCCCCTCTCCCTCAAGTATTCTTTCACATTGTTTACCTTACTTAATGTTAATAAATTGCTTATGTATTAGCTTTCATTTAGTCAAACTGTCATAATTACTATGACTAGGTTTCAGTATTCCCAGATCTCCTGTGACAGACGTATACAGAACATATCTGGGTGAGACACTTCAATAAATGGTTATTATGGGCCATTACTTATTGATTCTTCCCAATTTCTCTTTCGGAGGGTCATTTTCAGTGTTTTGGAGCACTCCCCTCTTGTGACGGCATCTTATAGGTAAATACAAATCTGTTTCACCTCAAACTTTCTTACACTATGGAGAATACATTCCATTTGGATTTTTTATTGTTCTAGATGGTGAGACTAAGACCAAGATTGGAGAGGTGGCTTCAGAGGAGGAAATTACAACAAAAATTGAACCATTGCCTGAAGAGTCTGGCAACCCCAGAAATGATGTTCTCCAGGATTCTGAATGCAGAGGATTCTGTGAATTTGGAGATACATTAAATGAAAAGGATCAAAATCTCTTTAACAGAAGACAACATAACTGTGATGAATGTGGGCAAAGCTTTGCTTGGAGTGCAGGCCTTATTAGGCATCGAAGAACTCATTGGGAGAAACCCTATGAATGTGATAAGTGTGGAAAGGCCTTTAGTGTGAGCTCAGCTCTGGTTCTGCATCAGAGAATTCATACTGGGGAGAAACCCTATCCGTGTACTTGGTGTATTAAAAGTTTCAGTCGGAGCTCAGACCTTATTAAACATCAAAGGGTCCACACTGGTGAAAAACCTTATAAATGTGATGAATGTGGGAAAGCCTTCAGTCAGAGTTCTGATCTTATTATCCATCAGAGAATCCATACAGGAGAAAAACCCTATCAGTGCAGTCATTGTACTAAAAGCTTTAGCCAGCGCTCAGACCTGGTTAAGCATCAGAGAATCCATACTGGAGAGAAGCCTTACACGTGTAACCAGTGTAACAAACATTTTAGTCAGAGTTCTGATGTTATTAAACATCAAAGAATCCACACTGGAGAGAAACCATATAAATGTGATGTGTGTGGAAAAGCCTTCAGTCAGAGCTCAGATCTTATTCTGCATCAGAGAATCCACACTGGGGAGAAACCATATCCATGTAATCAGTGTAGCAAAAGTTTCAGCCAGAACTCAGACCTTATTAAACATCGAAGGATCCACACTGGAGAAAAACCCTATAAATGTAATGAGTGCGGTAAAGCTTTTAATCAGAGCTCAGTCCTTATTCTGCATCAGAGAATTCACACTGGGGAGAAACCCTATCCATGTAATCAGTGTAGCAAAACCTTCAGTAGACTTTCAGATCTTATGAATCACCAGCGAATTCACACAGGAGAGAAACCTTACCCATGTAGCCAGTGCAGTAAAATGTTTAGCCGAAGATCAGACCTTGTTAAACATCATAGAATTCATACAGGTGAAAAGCCCTATGAATGTGATGAGTGTGGGAAAACCTTTAGTCAGAGCTCAAATCTTATTCTACATCAGAGAATCCACACTGGAGAGAAACCCTATCCATGTAGTGATTGTTCTAAAAGTTTTAGTCGTCGTTCAGACCTTGTTAAACATCAAAGAATACACACTGGAGAGAAGCCGTACGGGTGTAACCAGTGCAGTAAAAGTTTTAGTCAAAGCTCAGACCTCACTAAACATCAGAGAGTGCACTCTGGGGAAAAGCCCTATCATTGTGATCATTGTGAGAAAGCCTTCAGTCAGAGTTCTGACCTTATTCTTCATCAGAGAATTCACACGGGAGAAAAACCGTACCCATGCCCACAGTGCAACAAAAGTTTCAGCCAGAACTCAGACCTCATCAAACATCAGAGAATCCACACTGGGGAGAAACCATATAAATGTCTTGAATGTGGAAAGGCTTTCAGTCAGTGCTCAGCTCTTATCCTACATCAGAGGATCCACACTGGGGAAAAACCATATTCATGTGATCAGTGTGGCAAAAGCTTTAGTCGGCGCTCTGATCTCATTAACCATCAAAAAATCCACGCTAGTGAAAAGCCATATAAATGCGATGCATGTGGGAAAGGCTTCAGCACATGCACTCAACTTACTGAACACCAGGGAATCCACACTGGGGAGAAACCCCACCGGTGTAGTCAGTGCAACAGAAGTTTTAGCCAGCTCTCTGATCTTATTGATCACGAGATAGTCCATTCTGGGGAAGACAGTCTAAATGTGATGAATGTGGGAAAACCTTTGGAGTATACGCCAACTTTACTCAGTACCAGAGACACTACACCAGAAAAAAATCTTAGGAATGCTATTGATGATTATGAAAAAGGTTTTAATCAATGCTCAACTCTTTTGCTACAGTAAGGGGGAAAAAACCACTGGACAGAAAATAATTTTTACAATGAAAGTTTCACTGAGAGACATAACTAAATTTAAAAATTCTGAGGAGGAATCCTGTAATTGGGAAAAGCTTCAATGTGAACAAAAATGTTACTGAAGGTCAGCAACAATGGAAAGGAATTTCTGTCTGCTAAAATGTAAAAAAAAAAAAACCACCTTTAGTCTTTTATTCAAATACAGTCCACAAGGGAAGAGTTTTATCATTAAAGAAATGTATAAGTATTAATGCAGAACCTTATCAGATATTGTAAAAATCAGTGTGACGGGGCGTGCAATCAGAACTCAGAAGTGTACTGGTGTTATAATCTCAAACCTTTAGAGAGCCCTAATTACCTATTGCATATCCGAGAAGTCACCTTAGAGAATGTAGGGACAACTGAATTCCCTTCCGTATCTTAATTGGCATGTATTCTGATAATCAGCATGCCATTTATCTCCTGACAATGGAAGAGTCCTACCTTATGCTACTGTTAATCATCTGTCATTAAATTCCCTCTGTGTGAACATGCTATGCTATTCTGGTATTAAACTTATTAACTACATAACTCCAGTGCCCCATTTTCTCAGAAAATTTTCTTTGGCCTAGTTTTGGTTTTCCTAATGAATATGACTTTTCAAGTTCCTGCAGTATTCACAGCAAATATGGACTTGTTTTGCTTTCACTAATGTAGCCCATAAACTTGATTGGTTTGAAATCCTTCTTTACTACCATTTAATCACAGCTCCTAAATATGTGAAACAATTTTTTTAAAAAAGAGTTCCATATGTCAGAGTGTGAGGATTTCTCTTCCACTATGTGTATCTTGTCTCTATAGATTGAACAAAAATGAGAGCTAAAGTAATACCCAGTATGACTAATTTGTATAGCATATTCTGTCTAAAAATAAAAAGACATTGATTTTTTTTCAAGTGGCAACGTTTATCAGACTATTTTTTTAATGTTTATTTATTTTAAGAGAGTCTGAGAGCGGGCATGCAGGCAGGGTGTGGGTGGGGGCAGAGAGAGAGAATCCCAAGCAAGTTCCATACTCGGAACCAAGCCCCACGTGGGGCTTGATCCCATGAATCATAAGATGATGACCTGAGCCAAAATCAAGAGTGGGATGCTTAGCCAACCGAGCCACCCAGGTGCCCCTGTTTGTTGATTTCTGACATACATGTTGATAATAGGCTACACACACATACATATATATACATATATGTATGTATGTATATATATATATATGTATATATGCAAAGTTTTCAACAGAAAAATAGAAACTTTTTTAAAAATAAAAATCTCAAATTGTTTTTCTAGTATTAACCGCTTGTTAAAATTCCATTATTGTCCTTTACTTTGAATATTCCCCGAAATCACCCAGTTAATATTTCACTTTAACACATTGTTATTTACTACATGCAAGGTATTTTTCTTTCGGTTTTACTATACACGAAGAATATACTGTCCCAACAAAGCATAAGTGACAAAGCCTGATGTATACAGAAAACACATGGCTCAGTGTAATCATAAGGGTAGACAAGATGCTTATAAGAGCTCAGAGGAGGTAAGGTTCAATTATGATTAGAAAGAAAAGGTAAAGTTTATGGAGCCCTTGAAATTTGAGTTTTGAAGGATGGGAGTAGAAGCATAAAGGCAGAAGGAAGTAGTCAACAAAGTAGTCAACAACAAGAAGCAAGCAAGTATGTGAAATGATGTGATGTACGTAGTCATTCATTCATTCAATAAACATTCAGCATCATACTCTACTAAGTGCTGCTGAAGGGGTGAGAAAGAGTTCCTGCCCTTATGATCAACAGTTCATGAAAATAATTACTAAAACATGTACTTAAAAGAGTCAGAATGAGGGGCGCCTGGGCGGCTCAGTCAGTTAGGCGGCCGACTTCTGCTCAGGTCATGATCTCTCAGTCTGTGAGTTCGAGCCCCGCGTCGGGCTATGTGCTGACCGCTCAGAGCCTGGAGCCTGTTTCAGATTCTGTGTCTCCGTCTCTCTGACCCTCCCCTGTTCATGCTCTGTCTCTCCCTGTCTCAAAAATAAATAAAAGGTTAAAAAAAAAAAAGAATGAAATGGAAATCAAAAACGAGGTAGGAGAAAAGACTTAAGGAATGCGATGCTAAACAAGCAGGCACTTCAACTTTCTGGCGTTTAGTATCATATGGAAAATAGAAAAGTACTAGTTATGGCTGGGTTAAGTTTCATATTTCTGCATTTTGTTCTCAAGGTACTGGAAAGCCATTGAGGTCTTTGAACGAAGAAATGACATGATCGTCTTACTGCCTTCAGAAGAATAAAATAAAAGGGGAAAGAAAGGGGCGCCTGGGTGGCTCAGTCAGTTAAGTGTACCACTCTTGATTTTGGCTCAGGTCATGATCTCATGGTCATGAGATAGAGCCCTACTTTGGGCTCTGCACTGAGCATGAGCCTGTTTAAGATTCTCTTCCTCTCCCTCTGCCCCACCTCTGCTCACTTGTGTTCACACACGCTCTCTCTCTCTCAAAAATATAAATAAATAAATAAATAAATAAATAAATAAATAAATAAATAGGGAAGAACAGAAAGAAAAACTATTTTGGAAGCCTGGAAATAAAAGCATGAGGGTCACTAATAGAGGAGCTAAAAGGTATTCACATGATGATAAGTTGTGAAGTCAGTTGGAAAAAAGTGTACAATGAATTATCATCTGTTCCTTTGGGAATTAAAAAAATGAAGAAAATAGGATGATGGAGTTTATATCTGAAGTGTACCCCCCTCTCCTGAGAGTAAATTTTAAGAGCCGTCTGCTTACTACACACTTCTACCTAGTGTCATGAGCTTAACACACACCCACATGATATCTTCCTTCTGAATTCCCTGTTCTGGTGAACTGCACTGCTAAACACCTTGCCGTACAGATGAAATAACTGGTAGCCATCCTACGCTCCTCACTCTCCCCAGTTCTCTAAATCAACCTGCTCACTAGGTCTTAGAAATGAGTTATAAAAGTAACACTACTTATACAAATCTAATTTAAAAAAATCTGACAGTAACAAGCGTTGACAAGGATGTGGAAAAAACTGGAGCCTTCATGTTGCTGGTGGGGATATAAAATGGTGCAACCACTTGGAAGTTTGGCTGTTTGATTGCTGATGGGTATAGGGTATCTTTTTGGAGTGCTGGGAATGTTTTGGAATTAGTGCCAATTGCTGCATATTTTAGAATTTACTAAAAACCACTGGAGTCAACCCTTTAAAATAGTAAATTATATGGCAGGTGAATTATATGTCAATAAAAAATTAATATGCAAAAAAGCTACTGCGACCAAGAGAAAGAACATATGTTTAGAAATAAAATCACAAGTGATAAAGATATTGGAGTTACCAGACATGGACTTTAAAATGACTATAATTAATATACTCAACAAAATATTAATGAATAAATGTTACCAGAATTTATTAGATAGATTCTAATAGATTCTAATAAATCTATGAAAACTGTTTTATGGAAGTTCTACACCTGAAAAATATAACAACTACAATTAAGAGCTCAATTGATAGGATTACCAGCAGATTGGATACTTTGAAGTGGAGACTGGTGAACTGAAAGATGTAAATAAACACCAAGGCAGAAGCAGGGAGGGGAAAAAGAAACAAAATGCAGAGGAGAGCATAGGCATCATACATAATATTGTAAGAAGATCTAACATACAAATAATTTGAGCCTCAAAATGAGATAAGAGATGATGAGAAGAGGCTCTATTTAAAGAAAGAGTGATCGAGAATTTTCCAGTACTCATGAATATCAAGCCATAGATTAAAGGAGCACTACAAACACCGAGCAGAATAAATACAAAGAAAAATACACTTGAGGACATCATAGTACCTAACAAAACCAAAGGAAAAGAAAAAATATATATAAAAAAAGAAAAAAAAACACATTATATTCAAATAAGCAACAAATAAGACTGAGGGCTAACTTCTCAACATAATGCCAGAAAATCATGTAATATCTTGGAAATATAACTTTTAAAAGCAAAGGCAATATGTATGGTGACATACAGTAGCTACACTTGTGGTGAACATAGTATAACATGTAGAGATGTTGACTCCTATGTTATACACCCGAAACTAGTGTGACATTGTATGTCAGCTATACTCAAAAAAATTAAATTAAATTAAAAAATTTTAAAGGCAACGTAAAGACATTTCCGGATAAACAAAAACAAGAGAATTCACTGCCCATAGATTCAAACAAATACTAAAAGGAGTTCTTCAGGAAAAAGGGAAATGATTCCAGACTGAAAAACAAGTTTAAGAAGAAATGAAGAGCCACGGAAAGTGTAAATCTGAGGGCAAATCTAAATGAAGATGGGTTATAAGAAAATATAATAATGCCTCAAATCAGGACCTAAGTACGTTATCAGGGAAATGGTAGAAGTACTAATTTATAATGGATTCTAATAAAACAAGAATGCCTGTTGTAATATCTACAGTGAAAGAGGAGTATAGGGATACTTGGGTGGCTCAGTCAGTTAAGCTGCAGACTCTTGATATTGGCTCAGGTCATAATCTCACGGTCATGAGATCAGGCTCTCCGCTGAGTGTGGAGCCTGCTTGAGATTCTCTCTTTCCCTCTCTCTCTCTTTCATAGTAAATAAATAAACTTAAAAAAAAGAATATAGTATACATGGATAATATAATTAACAAAATGACCTAATTGACATATAGATAACAGTGCAACCAACAATGACAGAAAATCTCTTTAAGGTATGCAGAGGGCATTTACCAAAACTTGCCATGTGCTTGCTTGTAAAGCAAGCCTCACCAAATTTCATCAGATTGAAATAATTTAGAGCAGTGCTGTGCAATAGAACTTTTTATGTTCTTGTCAGTATTGTTCACATTTTAAAATGTGGTTAATGTGCCTGATGAACTACATTTTATTTAATTCTAATTAATTTAAATAGCCACCTCTGGTTAGTGGCTACCACATTGGACAGCAAGACTTAGCATGTTTTCA